TCAGAAGAAGAATGGCTTGGGTGGAGGCACATTTTATCTTTTCGAAGCTTTATTGTCTATTTTTCACTTTCCTTGTAATCTTCAAGAAATGAATGAATGAAAATGAAACTTCCTTTGTATCGAACTACGTAGGGCCTGAATTCTCCTTGGGAGATACGTAGGCAGCCTTTCAAGGCCCGGCCCCTAACTTTTGAAATTTTCTTTTCCCCTTCATTCTACAAGGAAACATTGAGTTTAGATCAACAAATGCCCAGAGATGCAACAAGAAGACCTTAGCTCAATGCAATTTAACCTTTCTGAGTCACTAACCTCAACATAAAAACGAGCAAATTCCTGCTTGTTCAAAAGTCAGTCCCCATTATTCGTGGGTTAGCATGTTATCAAACAAAGCAACTTTTCTGTGTTTATCTGCTTTCCATGTGATATTTTGCATTATTTGTGCTGAATCAAAACTAATAGATTTGCCTTTGAGTTGTTTTTCTCAACAGGTAGTTAGAACTGGTCTGTGTCGATAAGCTGGCTGATCATCCTTATTTCACTAGATCTAAAGGTCCACCAGATTCCTTCCCCAATCAAAGTTCACAAAAGGGAAAAGCAACAATGGGTGATAACAACGAAGAAACTAGCCTTACTGATGTCGTGGTGGCTCAGCCTGCCCTTGTTGATCAGAATGAACTAATCCTACAGTTGATACAACAAATTGCTGAGATGAGAGTAGAGATGCAGAGAAAACACGATTTGCCTCCTCCGATTTTTGCTGTCAACGCTCAATCAGACGAAAGACCTCCAACTCAAATTCCCATTCCTAACGTGGAACAAGCTCAGAACCCCCCTTTAAGCCCTGCTCGTAATCCCTTCATCATTGACCTTACCACCCAAAACCCCTATTACGCCTCAGCCTCTTATCAAACACCACCCCCTCCTTAAAATACCAACCTCCAAGCACCACTCCCTCCCCCCAATGCAAACCACCAAATTGGCCTACCCCCTCACAGCCAAAACGCTAATAACCCATGCACTTCCTCCTTCACCAAACCAATATACCAGCCCCCAGACTTTCCCCCAAAATTATCACGCCCCTTTAAATGGCCAAAATCCCTCTATTGCTCCACCACTACCACAAAAGGCCACTTTCCAAATACCGGTCCCCAATGAGCATGACGCCCATGGTTCGAAGCTCGACCACTATGAGGAGAGGGAGAAAGAGTGGAGGTCAAAGGAAGAGACCGCCAAGATAGATATGAAGGAGGAAATTAGAAAAGCCATGAATGAGTTGAACTGCATTCCTGAGGTCGCCGGATTGAGTTACGAAGACCTATGCATTCATCCGAATTTTGACCTCCCGAAAGGGTTCAAGGTGCCAAAATTCGACATTTTCGGAGGAACGGGGAACCCCTTAGCACACCTGAGGGCCTACTGTGACCAACTCGTGGGAGTGGGGAGAGACGAAGCTTTGTTAATGCGGCTTTTTAGTCGAAGTTTGAGCAAAGAGGCTCCAGAATGGTTTACGTCTCATGAAAGGAGACAGTGGTCTAGCTGGAACGCTCTGGCTAAGGACTTCATCGAACGATTCGCCTACAATGTGGAGATCGTTCCTGACCGTTACTCCTTGGAGAAGATGAAGCAGAAGTCGACCGAAAGTTACAAAGAATTCGCATATAGATGGCGAAAGGAGGCAGCTAGAGTTAGACCTCCCATGTCAGAAAAGGAAATTGTCGAAGTGTTTGTGCGGGTGCAAGAACCCGAGTAGGATTAAGAACCGGGAAGATTGCCCGTGTTGCTGCCTCGCCCGGATCTTCGGGCTTGTTGAAGAAGAAAAGAGAGGATGTGTCCTCTATCTCTTATGAGGGGAAGAAGACCCCAAGGAAATTCTCATCATACTAAGGTCATTCTCGACCTTCACAGAGTTCATACCCAGCTTGTTATGCACAGGCTGATTACCAGAATACCCCTCCATCCAGTTATCAAAATACTCCCCCTCCAATTTACCAAACCTCATCTCATCACTACCGAAATGTCGCCCCCAACTGTGTCAATATTCAGACAAATTACCAAACGCCTTCCCCAATGTACCAAACCCCAGCTCCACTTTACCAAAATACCCCCTCGAACTACCAAGCTCCACAACCAAATTATCAAACCAACTCATATCCCAGATATCAAGCCCCCCGTCCGAATGCTCCAAATTATCGCCAAATACCTTCCCCTCAACAAGGTAATTACGATCCCTCCCGTCCTAGATTTGAGAAGAAGCCTGCTAGAATTTTCACTCCGCTTATTGAAAGCCGAACAAAGCTGTTCGAGCGATTAACTGCAGCAGGATATATTCATCCAGTGGGGCCCAAGCCGGTTGACACTAGCTCAAAGTTTTACAGACTTGATCAGAGGTGCGTGTATCACTCCAACAGTGTTGGACATGATACCGAGGATTGTATCAACCTGAAACATAAGATCCAAGACCTGATTGACCAGAATGTGGTCTCTCTTCAGACAGTTGCGCCTAATGTCAATTGTAATCCTTTTCCAAATCATGGAGGCGTCACTATCAATATGATAGAGATAGATAATGATTGGTGCGTGACAAAGGCAATAGTTTCGATTGCTTCTGATGAGTTGGAAAGGGTTGTAACCTCATTGAGCAATAGAGAGAAGAAATAATTTATAATTCTAACACCCGAGAAGGCTGTTGCCTTGGTGCCAAGAGAAACTCTTACCCGACCAAAATTTGTGATTGAAACGATTGTTACTCAAGGTATGACCAGATCTAGCAGGTACTTCACATCGGAAGAATTGGCCCAAGGGGGGCAGAAAAAAGATCAGACTAAAAGGCCGATTAGTGAAGCTGAAGCCGAAAAGTTCTGGAGGAAATTACAGCCGAAAGATTATTCAATTGTGAAGCATTTGGAGAAAACACCAGCTCAGATTTATGTATAGGCTTTGTTGATGAGTTGACAACTGCATAGACAAGCGTTGATAAAGGCTCTGGATGATACTTATGTGCCCGTGGGTACCAATAGTGACAATCTAGCAGCCATGATAAACCAGGTCATCCGAGGATACCGAATTAGTTTTTGTGACGAAGTGCTGCCCTTTGAAGGCAAGATGCACAACAAAGCCCTGCACGTCACCACTATGTGTCGGGACAAGATAATAAATCGCGTCATGGTCGATGATGGATCCGGTCTTAATATTTTCCCCCTTTCGACTCTGAGGTAGCTAAAATTTGATTTGGGAAAGCTTTACCAGAACCAAGTTAATGTGAGGGCTTTTGATGGAGCGCAAAGAGACACATTGGGTGCGGTGAACTTGGATATTCAGGTGGGTCCTGCAGAATTCAACGTCGAGTTCCAGGTGTTAGATATCAACACTAGTTACAGCCTGCTTCTGGGAAGACCGTTCATTCATATGGCCTGGGGCTGTGCCGTTACCCTTCACCACTAATGAAGTTTGTTTGGAAGGACCAGGAATTGATCATTTATGGTGAAGGGAGTCATTCCAATGGGTATGCACCGATCGTTGATGATGTCTCTCGAGGTTGTGATTTCTGCATGGTGGAGCTGGTAAATGCCATCGATGATGACTTGGCTCCACAGCCTCCTATGCCTACCGTGTACAAAATGATTGCTACCGTCATGCTCCAGAATGGTTTTGAACCAGGTTTCGGATTGGGGAAGCACTTTCAAGGAATCATCGAGCCTATCCAAATTCCTATCAAAGGAGCAAAGTTTGGTTTGGGGTATGTCCCCACAGAGGCTGATGAAGCAGAGATGAAGAACAAGAGTGTCGATCAAGCATTGGCCAGGCCAATTCCTCAACTGTACCAGTCATTTACGGTACGAGAAAATGTCAACGATGGTGGTCTCGGGGAAGGAATCTGGGCCTTTTTAAGGGGATTAATGCGGTCATCGAGGAAGAGGCTGGGACATCGGCATCCGTGATGCAGAACCTGAGGAGCGATTGCAGAACTGGACCTCCACACCACTCTTGATTTCCCGCTCAACTGGGTAGAAAAGACATGTGTCTTTGTTTGTTTTAAAATTGGTGGTAGTCCGGAAGAGGCCCGAGACCCACCCTTTATGCAATTGTTATTTGTTTGAAGCTTTTAAATTTTCTTGTGATGTTTAAAAAGACAAAATGGCCCTCGGCCATGGCCAAAGTTTGTGCTTGTATTTCAATTCAAATGAAAAGCCTCTTTTATCGAAATTTGTTTGTTTACTTATGTGTTTATATTTTACTTTCCTAACTTTGTTTGTTTATGATTTCAATAATATTAATTTAAACCTGCCAATGTCATGTCATGTCATGAACCGAGTGAACAAAATGAGGCAGGCAATGATGAGTGCGAGGAATACGAAGAGGAAAATGAGGTACCTGAACATGTTGCTGAAGAGTTTCAACAATTCGAGAATCAACACAAGCCAAATCTTGAAGAAACTGAAACTAGTGAATCTCGAAGATGAGGAATGTGTCAAAGAAGTCAGAATCAGTGTCCATCTGACTAAAGCCCAAAGAAGAGACCTGGTTCGTTTGCTCAGGGAGTACATTGATGTATTTTCCTGGTCTTATAAAAACATGCCAGGGCTGAGCACGAATATGGTGTCCCACAAATTGCCGATCAATCCAGATTTCAGTCCAGTAAAACAAAAGACTCGAAAATTCAAGCCTGAGTTGAGTTTGAAGATCAAAGAGAAGATTACAAAGTAGATCAAGTCCCAAGTAGTGGAAGTGACGCAATATTCGACTTGGTTAGCTAATGTTGTTCCGGTTGCCAAGAAAAACGGAAAAATCAAAATATGTGTTGACTACAGAGATCTCAACAAAGCTTGCCCAAAAGATAGTTTTCCATTACCAAACATTCACATCCTCATTGATAACTGTGCTAAGCATGAGATGCAGTCGTTTGTGGATTGTTATGCGGGTTATCACCAGATCCTGATGGATGAAGAAGATGCAGAAAAACAACTTTTATCACGCCTTGGGGTGTATATCATTATCGGGTGATGCCTTTTGGTCTCAAGAATGCCGGCACTACTTACACGAGGGCCATGATGACTATCTTTCACGATATGATTCACAAGGAGATCAAGGTGTATGTAGATGATGTCATAATCAAGTCCCGCGAGAGTTCGGATCACTTGACTCACTTGAGGAAATTCTTTGATCGCTTGCGTATATACAATTTGAAGTTAAATCCCGCTAAATGTGCTTTTGGAGTGCTAGCCGGCAAGTTATTGGGATTTATAGTCAGCCGAAGGGGCATTGAGCTTGACCCTTCCAAGATCAAGGAGATCCAAGAATTACCTCCTCCAAAGACCAAGAAAGAGGTGATGAGTTTTTTGGGAAGGTTGAACTACATCAGCTGGTTCATAGCTTAATTCACCGTGGTGTGTGGGCCCATCTTTAAGTTATTGAAAAAAGATGTCTCGACCAAGTGGACCGGAGAATGTCAAACTGCTTTTGATGTCATCAAGAACTATTTGTCCAATCCACCGGTGTTGGTCCCTCCTCGAGAAGGGAGTCCATTATTGCTATATTTGTCGATCTCGAATAATGCGTTGGGATGCGTGCTTGGTCAACATGATGAGACTGGGAAGAAGGAGCGAGTCATTTATTACTTGAGTAAAAAGTTCACTCCATATGAGGCTCGTTACACTCTTTTGGAGAGAACATGTTGTGCTTTGACTTGGATCGCTCAAAATTGAGACATTATTGTCTCTTACACCACGTACCTTATCTCCAGGATGGATCCGTTGAAGTATATTTTCTAGAAAGCAATGCCGATCGGGAAGTTGGCTAAATGGCAAATGCTTTTGAGTGAGTTTGACATTGTGTATATGACACAAAAGGAGATAAAGCACAAGCCTTGGCTGATCATCTTGCGGAGAATCCAATTGATGAAGAGTATAAACCGCTCAAGACTTATTTTCCCGATGAGAAAGTAGCGTTTGTAGGTGAAGATATTTCTGAAGCATATCTTGGTTGCAGAGTATTCTTTGATAGAGCGGCAAATCATCAAGGGAAAGGTATCGGAGCAGTCTTAGTGTCGGAATCCGGTCAGCATTATCCTATGGCGGCTAAACTCCGATTTAATTGCACAAACAACATGGCTGAGTATGAAGCTTGCATCCTCGATTTAAAGATGGCAATCGACATGAACGTTTATGAGCTTCTAGTTATTGGAGACTCAGACTTACTGATTCATCAAGTTCAAGGAGAATGGGCCGTGAAGAATCTAAAAATCACACCGTACGTGCAGTATATACAAAATTTGTTCAAGATATTTCGCAAGATTGAGTTCAGTCATACTCCCAGAACACAGAATGAGTTGGATGATGCTCTTGCCACCATTGCCTCAATGATCAAACATCCAGATACAAGTTATATTGATCCAGTAGATATAGAGGTAAAAGAGTAGCATGTTCATTGTTCACATGTTGAAGCGGAACCAGATGGTTTGCCTTGGTATTTTGACATCAAGAAGTATTTAGAGGAGGGTACTTATCCTGAGAATGCAGCGTTCAAGCAAAAGAAATCTATACGCCGTATGGCCCTCCATTTCTTTGCAAGTGGGGAAATCCTTTACAGGAGGACTCCAGATTTAGGTCTTCTCAGATGTATTGATGCTAATGAAGCTGCAAAGCTTCTAGAACAGATACATGCCGGAGTTTGTGGTACTCACATGAATGGACTCACTTTGGCAAGAAAGATCCTCCGAGCCGGTTATTTTTGGATGACTATGGAACATGATTGTTGCAAGTTTGTGCAGAAGTGTCACAAGTGTCAAGTGGATGGCGATTTGATTCGAGTGCCGCCTCACGAACTCAATGCTATGAGTTCACCTTGGCCTTTTGTAGCTTAGGGCATGGATATCATCGGCCCAATAGAGCCAGCTGCCTCTAACGGACACAGATTTATTTTGGTTGCCATCGACTATTTCACCAAGTGGGTAGAAGCAACTTTGTATAAGTCGGTGACTAAGAAAGTTGTAGGTGATTTTGTTCGCAATAATTTGATATGTAGATTTGGAGTACCAGAATCTATCATTACTGATAATGGAGCAAATCTCAACAGTCACTTGATGAGAGAGATATGTGAACAATTCAAGATTACTCACCGAAACTCAACCACCTATCGTCCCCAAATGAACGGAGCTGTAGAAGCCGCCAACAAGAACATAAAGAAGATTTTGAGGAAAATGATTGATAATCGCAGAGGTTGGTATGAGATGGTGCCGTAAGCTTTGTTGGGTTACCGAACGACTATCAGAACATCAGTTGGAGCTACTCCATATTTGCTAGTATGTGGAACATAAGCAGTTATACCTGAAAAAGTTGAAATACCTTCATTGAGAATCATCCAAGAAGCCGAATTGACTGATGATGAATGCGTTCGT